GCACTTGATAATTAAGCATACCTTTAATAAATCTCCTTTATCCGAATGTCCAAATAATAATTTTTGGGCGGCCACACTTCCAGAAGAATAAATAAATATCTTTATTCCGGAATCTTTCCATTGATTTATTGCTTCAATTACATCATCATATACTCTACAAAAAGGAATTTGCGAAATCCTATAAATAAATTTTTCTTTGAAACAATTAAAAATCTAAAAACAGTCAACTCTCTATACCGAACCAATCATTCGGCAAATTTTGTTCGGCATAGAGTGAATTCAGGGTTCCACTTTATACCAAATGTTCGGTATATCAGTAGTATGTAGCACACGTGAAATATTCGATATGTAAAAATATATAACTTCTCTGATCATGTGGCGCCAAAAGTTTTGCATCAGATGAAAGAATTTTATCTTTAGATATCTCTAACAGTAGATTATTTTGAAATCTTTTTTTTTTTTTAATTTATCTAAACCCAGTTACAATTAATATTAAATTATGGCGCATGAGTCACACTTGCCAATACTTTGATGCATTACTTACTTTTAATAATTCTAATTAAAATCTAATAGAGGTTTAACTTTAAGTAAAAACATCATTAACAAGAACTCGGGCGTCTTTATTTTAAAGATATCTGACTATTCTACAAGATTTTATGATTCAAAAATATCTTCAATCACTAAACTTGGGAGAATCCTCATCTTGATACGCTCATTTTTAATAATTTACTGTATATTAAAAAGTGAAGTCAAAAAATTTTATTCTGTTACGAACAAACGTATCTAATTGAGGACCTAGCCAATTTCATGATTAAGAATAGTTTTAAATCATAAAAAAATACAATATACAAACGTCTTTAAATAAAGTTATCTTGGTTCTTGTCAATGGTATCTTCATTTAAGGTTTAAATCACTATTTGATTTTTAACTAAGGCGATTAAAAATTGTCGGGGATGATGCTGAAATCGGATGATGCTGAAATTTAGGGGCCTTAATTTGAAAATATAAATCCTACTAAA